CCCGGGGCTCGATATTAACCCTGCCCGGTGCCTCCCGGTGAGCCCCCGGAGCTCGATATTAACCCTGCCCGGTGTCTCCCGGTGAGCCCCCGGAGCTCGATATTAACCCTGCCCGGTGCCTCCCGGTGAGCCCCCGGGGCACGGGGAGGGACACGGGGCTCGATATTAACCCCTCCCAGTGCCTCCGGTGAGCCCCAGGGCCACGGGGCTCGATATTAACCCTGCCCGGTGTCTCCCGGTGAGCCCCAGGGCCACGGGGCTCGATATTAACCCCTCCCGGTTAACCCCCGGGGCTCGATATTAACCCCTCCCGGTGAGCCCCGGTGAGCCCCCGGGGCACGGGGAGGGACACTGAGCTCGATATTAACCCCGCCTGGTGAGCCCCGGGGCACGGGGAGGGACACTGAGCTCGATATTAACCCCTCCCGGTGATCCCCCGGGGCACGGGGCTCGATATTAACCCCTCCCGGTGCTTCCCGGTGAGCCCCGGGGCTCGATATTAACCCCTCCCGGTGAGCCCGGGGCACGGGGAGGGACACTGAGCTCGATATTAACCCCTCCCGATGAGCCCCGGGGCACGGGGAGGGACACGGGGCTCGATATTAACCCTGCCCGGTGCCTCCGGTGAGACCCGGGGCTCGGGATTAACCCTGCCCGGTGCCTCCCGGTGAGCCCCCGGGGCACGGGGCTCGATATTAACCCCTCCCGGTTAACCCCCGGGGCTCGATATTAACCCCTCCCGGTGAGCCCCGGTGAGCCCCCGGGGCACGGAGAGGGACATTGAGCTCGATATTAACCCCACCCGGTGAGCCCCGGGGCACGGTCCCGGCTGCAGTCACTAACGGTGTGTCCTCGAGCACGGAGCACGGTGTGGTTTTTTGTGTTTTTTTGTGGTTTTGTGGTTGTTTGTGGCATGGGCACCACGAGCTGAGCTGGTTTCACACGGAGGAGCTGCCACRTGCCTGTCCCTGCTCTGTGCAATGTCCCCACTGTGTCACCGTGTCCTTCACCAAAACGGGCTGTCCCCAAGCCTCAGGAGCTGCGGGCACACCCTGACACCCACAGAGAGCTGTGCCGAGGGCACAGAGGCTCTTCCCAGAGCAGGAATTCAGGTAATGGCTGCACAGGAGCCACCTCCAGGTCACCTCTGAGGGTGGGGACACTTCGGTCACCAATGTGGTTGATGCCATAAATCACAAGCAGTGGTGGCATTGTAGCTGGTGGCCCTGTGGGCACCCAGAGGTGCTGTCCCCTGACAGAGAATTGGGGTTATCCCACATCGTCCCTGTGGTAAAAGCCACGGATTTTCAGCAGCCTCAAGGGCTCAGAGTCTCAGTGCTGTGTGTCAGCTCTGGGTTTGAGGGACCCTGTCACCCTGCTGCCACCTCGGGAGTGCCACCCACCTCCTCAAGCCGGTGCCACACCCTGGAACTGCTTCAGGGACTCATTTGG